CCCTTCCATTTGGGGGTGTCCTTCCATTTGGGGGTTCCCTTCCACCGCCCGCCCCCCCGATTGATTTAGGGGTGCCCCAATTTTCAGAGGTGGAATGGGGGGGGGGGTGGGCTGTGACTTTTTGGGAGGTGACAATCGGGGGGTCCCCCCCTGGCCCCCCTCACGTCAGCCACGCCAGCGCCAGGTAAAGCCCCAGGGCCAGCGCGGCCGTGGGACCCCCCCCGTCCCCCCAGGCCACGGGCACCAGCACGGCCAGGGCCAGGACCACCCCGCACCCCCTCAGGGCCCCCCCCAAACTGCTCCCCCTGCCCCGGGGGGGCCGCGCCGGCACCACCAGCGCCCCCTCCAGCGGGCCCCCCCTCCCCAGCAGCAGCGGGGGGCTGCAGCGACCCCCGCCCTCGTAGCGCAGCGCCATCTCGTTGGCCAGCGAGGTGTTGGGGGCTCGCTCGGGGAAGGGGGGCCCCCCGCTCCTCGGGGGGGGGTCGCTGTCGCCGGGGTCCCCCCGCAGCCGGCGCAGGTGGGACAGGTAGAGCTGCTCCAGCTCCCGCGCCACCGCCTCGTCCTCGGCGCCCTGATGGGGAGGGGGGCACATTTTGGGGTACCCCCGACCTCGGGCAGGCAGGGTTTGGGGTACCCCGCTCCTCAGGGGAGGGGGCACCCCGGTTTTGGGGGACAGAGGGTGTTGTCTCACCTGGGCTGGGGGCTGCCCCGCATCCGGGGGGGGCGTTGGGGCCGGGTCAGGCTCTGGGGAGGGAAAGGGGAGGGGGTGAGGGACCCCCAAATTCGGGGGGGATCCCCAAAGTTGGAGGGTGCGCCAGGAATTGGGGTGCACCCCCAGATTGGGGGGAGCCATACTTACCTGTGCTGTGCTCGGGGGGTGGGGGCTGCACATCCTCCGCCTCCTGTGGCCTTTTGGGGGGACACGGATGTGTGGGGGGGTCACCCGACAGGACCCATCCCCCCCCCAAATTAGGGGAGGGGGAGCAGCACCTGCACCCCCCCAGAGCGTGACCCACATTCGTGCCCCGAGGGGTCCGCGGTTGGGGGGGGAACCCGGGCATGCTCCACAGCCCCCCCCTCAATTTCGGGGGGCACATGCAGAGGGGGGGGGCAGGGGGTTAGCCCCATTTTGGGGGTCTGCCCCATTTTGGGGGTCCCCCATGCAGCTCCCCCCCTCCCCATCTCTTACCTGCCCTTCCCAGGCCTCATCCAGATCCCGGGGGGGGGCGGCTTTCCCACCGCGCCCCCCGCCCCCCATAGCGGGGGTCCCCAAATTAGGGGAGGGGGAGCAGCACCTGCACCCCCCCAGAGCGTGACCCACATTCGTGCCCCGAGGGGTCCGCGGTTGGGGGGGAACCCGGGCATGCTCCACAGCCCCCCCCTCAATTTCGGGGGGCACATGCAGAGGGGGGGGGCAGGGGGTTAGCCCCATTTTGGGGGTCTGCCCCATTTTGGGGGTCCCCCATGCAGCTCCCCCCCTCCCCATCTCTTA